GTAGGGAAAATGAGGGTAAATTCAATCCTGATACACAGAGGAAAACAGGTCAGTTACTCCCCTTCTCAGCTATGAAATCCATTGGTTTAATCAAGATTTGATACTATACAATGCTTCCATTCCCTAGGACCAGTTGTATGGATGAATATAAGAAGCTTATTATCTGAGTTCCTCTACATTATTCTCTTCTATGATGGCCTATGAATTTAAGTGCATATACCAATGAAGATTAAACTGGACTAAAGATAAGGACTACATTTCTGAGGTACCACTTTCAGAAGGAGGCATGCCCCTCCCCATTTTTCTTTCCAATGTTTTGTATAGTACAGATCAAATTTGAAATTTATTTAGGAATACTTGATAAAACTGAAGAATTCAAAAACCCAGGAACTTCTTAAGCTTTTTCTTCAGCATCTTAGAGACTCTTTGCTTTCCTAGATACCAGGTCATGACTTGTCAATGAGGATTGCAATGTAAGATCCATATAAACTAGTCAACTTCTTAATGACATAGAAATAAAATCAATTTACAAAGTATTTGATCCTACAAAAAAAAGTTGGTTTAAAGTTTAAATAATACTTTTATTTTTTTATATTATGTAAAACTGACTCCTCTATAGAATAAATTTTTCACTCAGAACAAAATCATTAACTTTGCTGTTGCCTTCAGTGGAATTGGATCCTACTTGAAGTATGACAATTATGCTTAACAGAAATTAATCCAGCTGCTTACTTGATCTTTGGTTTTTGATGAAGAAGAGCTTTAGTCTCTCTTTAAATGTATTTTCATTCATATAGAATTCAACTTGCACCCTGAAATATAAAAGGAAGTATTAGAATTGAATATAAAAGTTAATAAATTATTTTTTCAAAATATTTTTTCCCCAATCATCTGTCCTTTATATGTAACTGGAGGAATATAGAGAGAGCATTCATCCAAAAGCTCACTTTGTTTTGAATTATTTATATTAAAAGATTAAAAAACAAAACCCAAGAACTCAAAACAATCATTTAGTTTATCCTCTTTACATGCAGACTCATTTTCATACTACTTGGACAAACTAAACTGAGAAACTGAAATAATCTACATCTTTGGCATTTTCATTGGAAGATTATTCTCATATCTGCATATTCTAAGGAAGATTTTCTTGATGTTCCGGTTAAGCATTCCATCTCTTAACTCCCTTCCTCTAAAATTGACATTTTAATGTTTCTTCTTTTCTATGTTCTTCATATCTCTGTTAAGCATTCATGTCTCACTTAAGCATTCACTTGTTTATGTTCACCTTTAATCAAATGCTTATGAATCTAAAAACCACCCTCTCTGAACTTTGCTTTTGTCAAAATGAAATGCTGAGACCTGAAAGCAAAATTATACTGCAATCATACAATGTTGTACAAAAAATAATTCCCCTTCCCCATTATGTTAAAGCAACAGTAACATCTTTTTTTTTCCTCCCTTTTCCCCTAATTTGCCAGGACATGTTTCATGTTTCTGTCCCTCAATTTAGTCTGAGTATGACTCAAGCAATAGTCCTACTGACTAGAAAAGAAAACTGTTGCAGGGGCTGGCAAGAGGAAAACATACATTAGTTGTATAGAAACAGTCCATTCCAGAGTTGTGGAGTGGTGCTATTTGCTGTACAATGGGTACACAACTAATTCCATGTACACTGAAGTCCCTGTGCTCCCCAACTGGCTGGATCTCCCTCACCAATCCCAGTTCTCCTCCAGCAATGAATCACTTTACACAGCACATTTTGTGTCTTCTTCAGAAGTCAGTTCTCAGTTTAAGAGCTGTTCTACTATTGCTGAGGAATAGTGATATCCCAAAAGTGAATTACTTCCTTACTTCTCTCTTCTCTCTGTATCATCATGTGCTGCAAAATTGTATATACGTTTTCTGTTCATAGGCATACTTGATCATTATTTGAGCATTTATTTTCAGCAGTCTTCCTTTCATCAAATGATTGTACTTCAATTACTTGTTCTTATGTACTCTGATGGTTTTTAAAACACGATCCTGACTTTAGATTTTCCTTTCTTGCATGAGAAGCCTTTGCTGAAACAATTTTTGTATAATCTAATGTTATCTATAGTCTCCCTCTTCTCCTCACTACACTTATGGAACTGGAAGACTATTCAGTTATGGGCCCAGAAGGGATAGCATCTCAGGTAATGTGACTTTATCATGCTTGCTAACTACCAGAAGTTCAGGTATATGACTTTGTAGGACAGGGTAAGGACATCATAAAAAGGTATTCACTGACTCACTCAGTGAGGTCAGTTTATTTTAGCTAGTCACTTAGCTTTGGTGTGGTTTACTGTAGTGTTCCTTGTAGAATGGAGAATTAAACTGCTTCCTATTCAGAGAAAGCAAACCCATATTTTTTACAGAATTTGCAATTTATTTCTGAACAATGACGTTTGACACAGCAGTTAAGAGCAACCCCTGTAGTATACCAGCTTTTCTACCCTATCTGTCCCTACTCCTTCTGTGGGTAAGGATTTTAAGGAGTTGGAATTAAAGAGGAAGAACCCACCTGCCTTCTTTTTAAACTAAGAATAGGTGCAACTGCATGTTTGAAGAGTTTGGGCCCAGAGGAATGTCCTAGAAACTGCCACCAAACTAGAGGAAAAGCCCATCAGACAAAGAGCGACTTGTTTCTGGGCTTTTATTGAGCTTAAATAAAGACTATATTTTGTGTTGTTCAGCACTGCAGGGGTCACTGTCATTATGTACAATTTGGATAGTTAATAACCTTAAAGCAACTTAAGAAAGCATGTCCAGGAGTCAATTAGTAGGTGAACAGGTTTCTGAGGGCCTCAGCTCTGCTTCAGTTCCTTTCTGTACATTTCTCAAGATACTCGCTGTCATTAATTCAGTGATAGTTTTAGCAGGAAACATTTCCTATGATTTGGCAGCTGCCACATGCTAAGTATATATACTTAATCTTCAAGGACATAATTCAGAAGGTAAACAAAGGGGCACAAGTTACTGAAGTAAAACATGTTATTTAAAAGAAGCACAGTATCAGTGATCTTTTTAACACATCTTAAACTAATCTCTCAGGTTTTTCAGTAATAAAATTACAGTAGTCGCTTTTCATGAAAGAACAACATGTTAACAGTAAGCCATGACTTAATGATAATGAGGAAAGAGCATGGAGGAGCTAATCGATCTCCTATCACTACTGTTATGAGTTGCTCTGATAGCCTCCTAACAGCTGTCTACTTCTCTTTCCTTAGCAACCTGTGCTCATAGTAGACTGGGATTCTACAGTGCAGCAGTTTCCATGGCAAAAGGGATTATGAGTGCTGCTAACACCACTCCTGTGACTCAACTCCTCCTTCTCCTTTCCCTGACTTTTTTAAAGTCAAGTAAAAACTGTATCAGCCTTCTACATCTGCAAGAAGCATATTGTCAAGCATCTATAATCAATGTACACTTCCATGATACTCTGGCTACCACACAGCGAATATTTCAGTTAAAGGTTACTATTTACTAATTAAAGCTAAGAATGAATGGCAGAAGAAGCCACTGACAGGCATTAAGGACAGAAACCTCCCAGTACTGTTCTTTCCCAATACTCTGCTTTTATTTTTTAGGGAAAATACTTATTCTACTTGAACTTTTTTTGTAATCTTTTAATTATTAAAATTTTACCTCAGGTATTTGCTATTTTGGCTTTTCCCACTACAAAGTGTAACTTATAACATTCCCAAAATGCTCCTTTTCTACAAATAATCATGGAATCATCAAGGTTGGAAAGACCTTCAAGATGATCAAGTCCAACCATCCATCCTACAACTCCCAACTACTAAACCGTCTTATGAAACACCATGTCTACCCTTTTTTTTTTTTTTAACATCTCCAGGGATGGTGCCTCCACCATCTCCCTGGGCAGCCTGTTCCAATGCCTTACCACTCTTTCTGTGAATAATTTTTTTTTCTAATACCTAGCCTAATGATCCTTGCTTGCAATATTAAGATCTATCAGTAGGAGTGAAGGGTTTGAATATGTTTTCTCTGGGCTTACTTAATAACTTCTACTTGATTATGTTTCATGTGAGTGAAATTCATTGCTGTGTACTTATATACAACTTGAATACTCTGTTACAGCATAAATACTGGTTGGAATTTGATTCCAAGCAAATGGCTTTCATTAAATGGCACACATGCAGTACAGAGTGACAGCATATGTGTACAGAGATCAGCTGGCCTATATAACAGGCTTGGTTCTGTTCTGTATTTCTAGTGTAAGTAATTTAAAAGTGTAATTTAAACAACTTGTGCATCATGTTTCTTGTCTTCCTGTAAAAGACAGTTGTACTTCAGTCCACCCTGACCAAAATGAAAATTAAGCTCAAGGATTAAAACAATATTCCTTGAGGATGGTTACTGGGACAGAAATGTTTGGTGAATATAAGTACTTTGTGTATGCAGTTAATTGTTTTTGGGTTTTTTTCTTAAGATGTGGTAGGCATTGAGCATTCCATTAAAAGCTGCTTTTGAAAATTAAAGATTAGGTCTTATGCTGACTCTTGCCTCAGCTTTACTGAAAACGCAAAAATATGCAGCTGATACACCTGTGACAAAAGCAACTGAAGTTGTATGACTCTTGAAAACAGTGTGGGGTTTTTAAAATGTTTTTAGAATTAAATACCATTAATAGTGGTCTTCCCTAATTTAAACCCCCAAAAAAGTGATGTCAATAGAATATTTCAAACTCTTAAGACATATCTTGAAGTACTCAAAGCACAAATATTCTTGTTATCTTGACTTGTCAAAAGTCATTTTTACTTGTCAAAAGTCATCTTGACTAAATTAGAAGACTGCAGTCTTAATTCAGTCAAGATGCAACAAGTAGTACATTTTAATGTAGTAAAAAGCATAGCAGGAAAATACTCATGCAAAGGACACTAAGCACTTTTTTTCATGACTGTAAATCACTGGGATGGTCTGTCTGCTCTCTGGTTACTAAACCAATTTTGTCTGCATTTTTCCATTGTTATGTACAATTTCACTGTAACTCCATAGTCACACTTCTATTATAGTAGCAGTATTACCTTTCACCCTCAAATCTACAAATTGTCTTTTGTTTTAGAAAATAGCATATTTGGCAGAAATAATTCTTTCAAAAATCAAACTATGAGTTTGATTTCTCACTACATGCATGCTAAGAGCTGTAAATATTTATGCTTACTACTGTTCGACATTGGAATGAAGAAAAGGTGTTAGCTGTACAACTGGAGCCAATCTGAAGAAACTACATCAATTTATTTAAATCATTGTTTACAGGAAGGGACATCTCATGTCTTCTCTACAAAAAGAGCTTTTCAATATAGACACTACATTTTTTGTTGGAATATACCAATTCCATATATGTGAAATCCTCTTAGATTTCAAACCTGAAAGTTTATTATGTGGAGTGTAGATAGGTGCTTAAAAATTATGCACTTTAAGAGCTAAAGGGAACTGCTATTGTTAGAGCTTTTCCTACTGAAAAGAAAAAAAGAAAGAAACGGGCATTTTATAGCTTTTTAGTGAGATTGGTGTATTTTAATGACTGTCTTGGGATAGCAGCTCTCTTCTTTTTTGAAGTTTTCTAAGTTCTGAAATAATCAGAACTGTGATTTGTATAGTGCTTCACAGAGAAATGGTCATCTGACTTTTCAGGTCTGCTTGTTGCATCAGAATCAATATGACAGATCCAGACTACTTTTTGAAAGATACCTCATCATCTTGTGCTGAAGGAAATGGCAGTAAAACCAGTACTTTTCCATTGCTGGTTCTTTGGGAAGCCCTCTTTTTTTATTCTGGTAGGAAATCAGCCACCAGTTGCGTAAGTCTGAACAGAAAAAGGTCTGAGTTTTTAATTTCCTTTCATGCTGAATGACAGTGCCCCAAAACAAATAATAGCAACTGGGGGAGGCAGGATGCTTGTATCCTCCCACTTACTGGAAAGACAGAAAAGATGTTATTTCTTTTGCAGCCTCCCAATTTGGTAGTCCATTCTTGCAGCGTGAGCATGACATGAGAGAGTTGTGGTGATCAGGGTCTCAGCATTTTTCTGAGTACTTTGGACATAAGTCTTTAAAACCTGCATCCTTACTGAAGCCATTTGCTATCCACTAACCTGACATCTTAACATTTGCTATATGGCCCTGCATTTTCTAAAATATGGCTTCTAATAAGTGAAGAATAATTAAAACTGACAGGTATAAGGTTTTTTTCAGATAGGGCATTTTATCTGTTATGAATAAACCAATGAAAATTTTCAAGATCTCTGCACAAATGTGTTCATGTAATATTGCCTTGTAGATTCTTTATAATATATGACATTGTGAATGTACATGATAGAACACAGGTTCTATCATCTAAGAATTACCTTTTTGTATGCAATACTAGCTATTACCTCTTTATTTTTCCAAACTAAATTCTCACAGTACTCTCCTTTAGAACAATTTATGTACTGCAATTGTCTGGTTCAAATTTGAACTATCATGTAACAAAGACATGTTTGGTCTTAGAATACATGCTATGATACCTATACCTGGGTGTTTCTTTTGTTCTTTTCTTTCTCTAGGTTTATTTATTTAGAATATACCTGCTATATCAGTGTATCCAAGTTAATCTATCTGGTCAAGTTTTTCCAGACATACCTGCAATCATTTTATTATGTAACTGGATATTACTGTAACTAAAGGGTTTATAGAGATCAGATCTTATCAGTGTCACCATAAAAATTCATTGTTCTAATGAAAATTGAAATAGCATCAACTGAGTTCAGCCTAATCAAGTTACAGAATAAAGGATCAACAATGCACAAATAACCATGTAGCTCAGAACTATGTGTGCTCAAACCCTTTTTATTGTATCTCCTGCTTGTTTCAATTTAATCAAATACAAGACA